ACTAACTAACTAACTAACTACTAACTAACTACTAACTAACTAACTAACTACTAACTAACTAACTAACTAACTACTACTAACTAACTACTAACTAAACTACCTAACTAACTAACTAACTAACTAACTAACTAACTAACTAACTAACTAACTACTACTAACTAACTAACTAACTAACTAACTAACTAACATAACTAACTAACTAACTAACTAACTAACTAACTAACTAACTAACCAACTAACCAACTAACCAACTAACTAACTAACTAACTAAAACTAACTAACTAAAACTAACTAACTAACTGAACTGGGACAGAACTAAAAAAGAACTAGAACAGAACTAGAACAGAACTAGAACAGAACTAGAACAGAACTAGAACAGAACTAGAACAGAACTAGAACAGAACTAGAACAGAACTAGAACAGAACTAGAACAGAACTAGAACAGAACTAGAACAGAACTAGAACAGAACTAGAACAGAACTAGAACAGAACTAGAACAGAACTAGAACAGAACTAGAACAGAACTAGAACAGAACTAGAACAGAACTAGAACAGAACTAGAACAGAACTAGAACAGAACTAGAACAGAACTAGAACAGAACTAGAACAGAACTTGAACAGAACTAGAACTAGAACTAGAACAGAACTTGAACAGAACTAGAACAGAACTAGAACAGAACTAGAACAGAACTAGAACAGAACTAGAACAGAACTAGAACAGAACTAGAACAGAACTAGAACAGAACTAGAATAGAACTAGAACAGAACTAGAACAGAATTAGAACAGAACTAGAACAGAACTACAACAGAACTAGAACAGAGCTAGAACAGATCTAGAACAGAACTAGAACAGAACTAGAACAGAACTAGAACAGAACTAGAACAGAACTAGAACAGAAATAGAACAGAGCTAGTACAGAACTAGAACAGAACTTAGAACAGAAACTAGAACAGAAACTAGAACAGAACTAGAACAGAACTAGAACAGATCTATAATAGAAACTAGAACAGAACTAGATCAGAACTAGAACAGAACTAGAACAGAACCTAGAACAGAACTAGAACAGAACTAGAACAGAACAGAACAGAACTAGAACAGAACTAGAAACAGAACTAGAACAGGACTAGAACAGAACTAGAACAGAACTAGAACAGAACTAGAACAGAACTAGACAGAACTAGAACAGAACTAGAACAGAACTAGAACAGAACTAGAACAGAACTAGAACAGAACTAGACAAACAGAACTAGAACAGAACTAGAACAGAACTAGAACAGAAAACTAGAACAGAAACACAGAACTAGAACAGAACAGAACTAGAACAGAACTAGAACAGAACTAGAACAGAACTAGAACAGAACTAGAACAGAACTAGAACAGAACTAGAACAGAACTAGAACAGAACTAGAACAGAACTAGAACAGAACTAGAACAGAACTAGAAAGAACTAGAACAGAACTAGAACAGAAACTAGAACAGAACTAGAACAGACTAGAACAGAACTAGAACAGAACTAGAACAGAACTAGAACAGAACTAGACACAGAACTAGAACAGAACTAGAACAGAACTAGAACAGAACTAGAAACAGAACACTAGAACAGAACTAGAACAGAACTAGAACAGAACAGAACAGAACTAGAACAGAACTCGAACTAGAACAGAACTAGAAAGAATAGAACAGAACTAGAACAGAACTAGAACAGAACTAGAACAGAACTAGAACAGAACTAGAACAGAATTAAAACAGAATTAGAACAGAACTAGAACAGAACTACAACAGAACTAGAACAGAGCTAGAACAGAACTAGAACAGGAACTAGAACAGAGCTAGTACAGAACTAGAACAGAACTAGAACAGAACTAGAACAGAACTAGAACAGAACTAGAACAGAACTAGAACAGAACTAGAACAGAACTAGAACAGAACTAGAACATAACTAGAACAGAACTAGAACAGAACTAGAACAGAACTAGAACAGAACTAGAACAGAACTAGAACAGAACTAGAACAGAACTAGAACAGAACTAGAACAGAACTAGAACAGAACTAGAACAGAACTAGAACAGAACTAGAACAGAACTAGAACAGAACTAGAACAGAACTAGAACAGAACTAGAACAGAACTAGAACAGAACTAGAACAGAACTAGAACAGAACTATACAGAACTAGAACAGAATAGAACAGAAATAGAACAGAGCTAGTACAGAACTAGAACAGAACTAGAACAGATCTATAATAGAACTAGAACAGAACTAGATCAGAACTAGAACAGAACTATAACAGAACTAGAACAGAAACTAGAACAGAACTAGAACAGAACTAGAACAGAACTGAACAGAACTAGAACAGAACTAGAACAGAACTAGAACAGAACTAGAACAGAACTAGAACAGAACTAGAACAGAACTAGAACAGAACTAGAACAGAACTAGAACAGAACAGAACTAGAACTAGAACTAGAACTAGAACAGAACTAGAACAGAACAGAACAGAACTAGAACAGAACTAGAACAGAACTTGAACAGAACTAGAACAGAACTAGAACAGAACTAGAACAGAACTAGAACAGAACTAGAACAGAACTAGAACAGAACTAGAACAGAACTAGAACAGAACTAGAACAGAACTAGAACAGAACTAGAACAGAACTAGAACAGAACTAGAACAGAACTAGAACAGAACTAGAACAGAACTAGAACAGAACTAGAACAGAACTAGAACAGAACTAGAACAGAACTAGAACAGAACTAGAACAGAACTAGAACAGAACTAGAACAGAACTAGAACAGAACTAGAAAGAACTAGAACAGAATAAAAAGAATTAGAACAGAACTAGAACAGAACTACAACAGAACTAGAACAGAGCTAGAACAGAACTATAACAGAACTAGAACAGAGCTAGTACAGAACTAGAACAGAACTAGAACAGAACTAGAACAGAACTAGAACAGAACTAGAACACAGAACTAGAACAGAACTAGAACAGAACTAGAACAGAACTAGAACAGAACTAGAACAGAACTAGAACAGAACTAGAACAGAACTAGAACAACTAGAACAGAACTAGAACAGAACTAGAACAGAACTAGAACAGAACTAGAACAGAACTAGAACAGAACTAGAACAGAACTAGAACAGAACTAGAACAGAACTAGAACAGTACTAGAACAGAACTAGAACAGAACTAGAACAGAACTATAACAGAACTAGAACAAACTAGAACAGAACAGAACTAGAACAGAACAGAACTAGAACAGAACTAGAACAGAACTAGAACAGAACTAGAACAGAACTAGAACAGAACTAGAACAGAACTAGAACAGAACTAGAACAGAACTAGAACAGAACTAGAACACTAGAACAGAACTAGAACAGAACTAGAACAGAACTAGAACAGACTAGAACAGAACTAGAACAGAACTAGAACAGAACTAGAACAGAACTAGAACAGAACTAGAACAGAACTAAGAACAGAACTAGAACAGAACTAGAACAGAACTAGAACAGAACTAGAAAGAACCAGAACAGAACTGAAAGAACTAGAACAGAACTAGAACTAGAACTAGAACAGAACCGAAAGAACAGAACTAGAACAGAACTAGAACAGAACTAGAACAGAACTAGAAACAGAACCAGAACAGAACTATCACAGAACTAGAAGAACTAGAACTAGAACAGAACTAGAACAGAAACTAGAACAGAACGAACTAGAACAGAACTAGAACAGAACTAGAAACAGACCTGAACAGAATAGAACAGAACTAGAACAGAACTAGAAAGACTAGAACAGAACCTAGAACAGAACTAGAACAGAACTAGAACAGAACTAGAACAGAACTAGACAGAACTAGAACAGAACTAGAACAGAACTAGAACAGAACTAGAACAGAACTAGAACAGAACTGACAGAACTAGAACAGAACTAGAACAGAACTAGAACAGAACTAGAACAGAACTAGAACAGAACTAGAACAGAACTAGAACAGAACCTAGAACAGACCTAGAACAGAACTAGAACAGAACTAGAACAGACTAGAACAGAACTAGAACAGAACTAGAACAGAACTAGAACAGAACTAGAACAGAACTAGAACAGAACTAGAACAGAACTAGAACAGAACTAGAACAGAACTAGAACAGAACTAGAACAGAACTAGAACAGAACTAGAACAGAACTAGAACAGAACTAGAACAGAACTAGAACAAACTAGAACAGAACTAGAACAGAACTAGGACAGAACTAGAACAGAACTAGACAGAACTAAAACAGAACCAGAACAGAACGAGAACAGTACAGCCAAATATAAAACTGGACTGTTAACCAAGTACATTCATAACGTTCTTGAACTAGAACAGAACTAGAACAGAACTAGAACAGAACAGAACTAGAACAGAACTAGAACAGAACTAGAACTAGAACAGAACTAGAACAGAACTAGAACAGAACTAGAACAGAACTAGAACAGAACTAGAACAGAACTAGAACAGAACTAGAACAGAACTAGAACAGAACTAGAACAGAACTAGAACAGAACTAGAACAGAACTAGAACAGAACTAGAACGAACTAGAACAGACTAGAACAGAACTAGAAACTAGAACAACTAGAACAGAACTAGACAGAGTAGAACAGAACTAGACAGAACTAAAACAGACCAGAACAGAACGAGAACAGTACAGCCAAATATAAAACTGGACTGTTAACCAAGTACATTCATAACGTTCTTGTTTGCAAGACTTTATAAGCGTACCATTAAGTTCGCTTAGAAGTCCACTTTTAAATGTAAGTGAACTTTGATAATATCTACTAAATCTAAGTGGGAGAGTAAGCAAACGAATTACTACCGACTACTACGAATTTTTTACACTGGGAGCGAAATTATCAATTTTAACATGTCACTCACTTTGTTTTGCAAACTTAATCAGTTGAAATGTTTTAAGTATATTTATTTATATTAATTTTATAAATTATAAAACAGTTTTAAAACGACAGAGATTCAGAAGAGTTGTGCTTAAATTAAAATAGAAAGCGATATTATCAGGAAATTATTAAGTGTTAAAAAAAACTTTAAACTAAAATCTCTGAAAATAGTGGCATAATTGAAAATCTTTTAAAAATCCAAGAATCATATAAAAATGTTTTTAAAAATATTTCTGTGTCTAACTTTTAACCTTTTTATTTTATCTCAATATGGGGTAGGGTTATATTTACATATATAGAATTTATTCGTGAGCTTGAAGCCAATGTTTGATTATTTTTTCTCGTTTTAGAACTGTGAAAACTGTGATTCGGACGAAGTGTATCTACATCTATTTGGTCAAATTGAAAATTTAAAAAGATCTCTGGAAATTGTAAACACACGTCTTGATATATTATATGACAAGTAAGTATATTTGAAAAAAAATTTAATTTGTATTGCTAAATAAATTTATAGATCGTCTACTAACACTGACAAAAAAGAGATGTCCGAAAACCCCCGAAAAAAGGTTCCATCTATATTTGATATACGTTTTGATTCCCTGCCCAAACATTGTCTTTCTAATGCTCAGCCCAGTTCTTGTGCCGCTGCCATGGAATGCACTCGTACTAGTGGCATCTATAATATCACCGATTATCGCTATAGTAATCAAACATTTTCGGTTTATTGTGATTATTACAATTATGAAGGTGACTGGACTTACGTTTTAAGACGCAAAGATGGCACTGAGCAATTTAACCGAACCTGGAATGATTATGTCAAAGGTTTCGGAAGTTTAGCCAGTGAATACTGGTTGGGTTTGGATCATCTATATGCTCTAACGAACTTCTATGGGCCACAGGAATTAATAGTTCATATTGAAAGTTTTGATGGAATAAAAAAATTCGCCCGTTATGATAACTTTGCTGTAGGAAGTGCTGCAGAGAAATACAAATTAAAGTCCCTGGGTGAATATTCGGTGATAGTTTATCCGAGCATATGGGTATGCAATTTTCTACATACGACAATGATAATGATAAATCTTCTGGCACAAATTGTGCTAAAAGGGAGAATGGTGGCTTTTGGTATAATAGTTGTGGTCACGCGTAAGTCTTTAAAGAACTTATATTTAAAGTACTAAACTAAAGAAATTTTTTAATTTTAGCAATCCTACCGGCAGTTACCTACGTGGTTCACTTTCCGACAAAGATGATCATCTTTATTGGAAAACTTTTGGTCAATTTTACTATTCACATAAAACTATGATATTTATGATTCGTCGACAAAGTGCTGAAAAGTTCGAGTAACTAATTAATGTGTCAGTAGTACATAGTTCCAGAATCTACACAATGTGACAAAATTTATGTTGAGACAATAAATTCGAAATTTTTGTATAAATTTGTAAAATAAATCTTATAATTTAAAATATATGTAATAGTTTTATGATCTTTTCTTAGCAATATATGTATTTTAGAAAACTTAAACTAAAGTACGAAATGGCATCAGAAAGTCCACTTTTATAGGTTCCCACTTAATCCGGGCTATACTTGCTTACTTTTATGTTCTATGTTCAATGCTACAGAAAACTCAAAAAGTACTTTTTGAAGTACGAAAAGGCACCAAAAAGTCCCCTTTTATAGGTTGGCGTGTACTCCGGTCTCTACATGCTTAATTTTATGTTTCTAGGTTCAATGTTAGAGAAAACTCGAAAAGTACTTTTTGAAGTACGAAAAAGTACCAAAAAGTTCTCTTTTATAGGTTCTCGTGCTATAGTAGATGCTAAATTTCATATTTTTGGGTTCAATATTATAGAAAATTTCAAAAGTACCTTTTGTAGAACGAAATGGTAACAAAAAGTCCCCTTTTATGTGTTCTCACTTAATCTGGGATCTACATACTTAATTTCATGTTTCTAGGTTCAATATTATAGCAAGTTTAAAAAGTACATTTTGAAGAACGAAAAAGTACCAAAAAGTCCCATTTTATAGATTGTCATTTACTCGGGCAACACATGCTTAATTTTATGTTTCCAGGTTCAATGTTATAGAAAACTCAAAAAGTAACATTTGAAGAACGAAAAAGTACAAAATGTTCCTTTTATAGGTTCTTATTTAATCCGTACTCTGTATACTTAATTTTATATTTCTATGTTTAATATTATAGAAAACTAGGTACTGGACTAGAAATAAACTAGAACTGAACTAGAACTGAACTAGAACTGAACTAAAACTGAACTAGAACTGAACTAGAACTGAACTAGAACTGAACTAGAACTGAACTAGAACTGAACTAGAACTGAACTAGAACTGAACTAGAACTGAACTAGAACTGAACTAGAACTGAACTAGAACTGAACTAAAACTAAACTAGAACTGAACTAGAACTGAACTAGAACTGAACTACAACTGAACTACAACTGAACTACAACTGAACTACAACTGAACTAGAACTGAACTAGAACTGAACTAGAACTGAACTAGAACTGAACTAGAACTAAACTAGAACAGAACTAGAACTGAACTGAACTAGAACTGAACTAGAACTAGAATTGAACTAGAACTGAACTAGAACTGAACTAGAACTGAACTAGAACTGAACTAGAACTGAACTAGAACTGAACTAGAACTGAACTAGAACTGAACTAGAACTGAACTAGAACTGAACTAAAACTGAACTAGAACTGAACTCGAACTGAACTAGAACTGAACTAGAACTGAACTAGAACTGAACTAGAACTGAACTAGAACTGAACTAGAACTGAACTAGAACTGAACTAGAACTGAACTAGAACTGAACTAGAACTGAACTAAAACTGAACTAGAACTGAACTAGAACTGAACTAGAGCTGAACTGGAACTGAACTAGAACTGAACTAAAACTGAACTAGAACCGAACTAGAACTGAAACAGAACTAGAGCTAAATTAGAACTGACAGAATTGTTGAAGATATGGATCCCGAAGGGTCTTCAGAAAATTGATTTCAATAAACATTCAGACGGACATAGCTTAGTCGACTCCGCTATCAATAAGGACACGCAATATACATATGTGTATACGAAAAATTATATTATAGAAATTGCAAATGGAATGACAAACTTATATATATCCTCTCACGTCCCCCTGAAGACATGTTACCTTGATGAAGGACCCCATCTTGGTGTGATTACAAGTCGGCGGGGACTATAAACTGGTGATGATCAAATGTATCCTTGGACTTTTCTTGGAATGATTTGACATGGGGTCGAACCAGAGCACCACACAATCTGGTACTACGGGTGGCTAGTTGACCGCATTAATATCTCCTGGCTGGTCAGTTGGTTGAGGTTCCTTTGGGATCCACCTAGTGGCTGTGGTTTAAACCAAAATTCGCGGAAAGTGGTGCTTTATTAAGAGATACACGGTGAAATATAAATATTTGGGGATAAGTTTCTGTTACGCTCTTAATTTCTAGTAGGGGTACAAACCACAGGGCAAGGGTGTGTGGTTTGTTGGATTTGATCTGATAATGCAAAGCTAGAGTATGCGTTGGTGTGCGATTTGCCATCGAATACTAGTATCTGATGGATAAAAGGTATTCTTAGCTGATCTGTGGAGATGTTGGAATAATGGATGAAGTGGCTGTGCAGTTGGTTGAGACGTTGGCAGAGTTGTTAATACCTTATTCTTTAATTTATCGGAGATTTTCCTATATATTATTTAGGAATATAATATATTTCCTATATATACATTTATGTTTTCTAATCAGCAAATACGTTCCTACGTTCTTTACGTTCACGTAAAGCACTTCGACATTCATACCCTTCTCAAGAAGTTGAAGGGCATAAAAAAATATACCAATAGTATCAATTGAAGATCGAAAAAGTACTAAAATATCCTATTTCATGGGACTTTTCAGATCGCTAAAACAGCGCGTTAAGTCATTAGAAGTCCAACTTGTCAAGTTTAAAAATAAGGTTTAACCATTGTTATAACTCTTTCATTTTTTATACCCTACACCACTTTAGTGGGGAGGGTATATTGGATTTGTGCTGATGTTTGTAACATACAAAAATATTCTTAAAGTATACCAATCGGCTTAGAATCGTTTTCTGAGTCGATTAAGCTATGTCCGTCCGTCCGTCTGGCTGTCCATGTAAACCTTATTTGACCCAAGGACGAAGCCTATTCAAAATGGTTAAAATCGGTCCATTATTTCACCTAGCTCCATAGAACAGAACCCCCCGAAAGGGCTTCTGAGCTCATAATTATGTTAAATATACAGATATATCGATAAAATACGGCACAACTAAGTTTTATATAAGTCTTGATGTGCCTGCCAAATTTCATAAAGATCGGGCCCCATTTGACCCTAGCTCCCATACAAAGTCCCCTTCAGAAAATTACTTGAATAAAAAATAAAATATTATGTAAATATAAATATATTCACAAAATTTTATCGGGCTTGGTCCATATTTGCCCCTAGCCCCCATATAAAGCCTCTTTCAGAAAATTAGTTTTTCATCCATAAATTGCTTAAATGTATCGGAACAAGGGAATATTGAAGATAAATGCTTTATTATGAAAAATAAATCACATTTAATATTCATAACTGGTGTAGGGTATCATATGGTCGGCCACTCCCGACTATACTTTCTTACTTGTCAATGTTAAAGCGTCTTAAATATTGTCCAAACCAAAAAAAGAGATTTTTCAAAATTAATGACACGATATCTGGAAAACCTGATATGATGGATAAGAGGCCAGATTCGGATTCAGCGTAACTCAATCCTTCAGAATAGTATACTTTTGTATCTTCATGTTATAAATTATTATGATTTTTTTTTTAATAAAACAATATGTAATTGTAGAACACATCTGTATATTTCGTTTTGTAACGTCATTTCAAATGCCCGATAACGATGTGTCATAATAAAAAAATCTTGCGACGCTCGATATTTGAAAAAACTCTGCACCATCTAAACTAGCACAAAACTGTCTATGAATGTTATTACATATTTCATTTGTAATATAGTGTTTTAAAAATTTAATAATCTCGTTTTGAATTATTTTATTGGTATAATATAGTTTGCGAAAACGAAAAATTAAAACCACACTCTACACCATCTAAACTAGCACAAAACTTGCTATGAATGTTATTACATATTTCATTTGTAATATAGTGTTTTAAAAATTTTATAATCTCGTTTTGAATTATATTATTGGTATAATATAGTTTGCGAAAACAAAAAATTAAAACCACACTCTGCACCATCTAAACTTACACAAAACTTGCTATGAATGTTATTGCATATTTCATTTGTAATATAATGTTTTAAAAATTTAATAATCTCGTTTTGAATTATTTTATTGGTATAATATAGTTTGCGAAAACAAAAAATTAAAACCACACCAATGGAACATTCTGAAATGAATCATAATAGTATGAATTTCACTACACGAATGGAAGTTGACGATGATCGTATCAACGAAAGCATTTTTATTTCACAAAGGGAAATTGACAATAATGACGGCGATCGTACTGACGAAAGCGTACCCATGGACTGGGATTCGATTAATGTCGAAGAAAACTTGAGCAGTAAACCAGCGTCATTACAATTTATGGCTTCTGTATTCAGCTCAAATGTATGCAATACTTTTTGTGCTGAAATTATATTTAAGTTTAATGACTAATGCTATTATTTTAAGAATCATGTACATATTATTAACTTTGTATAATTGAAAACAATAAAAATAAATAATTTTTTTTTATTGTTTTCAATTGTAAAACAGTTATGTGCTGTTTCTAGATACCGATCGAGCATTTTGAGCACAAATTTTACTTGCATTTTGTTATTGTAACAAAAATAAAATACAAGTAAAATTTTAACTCACACTACTCACACGTTATCTAGAAACAACACATTAATCTATGTATATTAGGGTGATCCCAAAATGGAAGTTCATTCTAGGATAACATTTCTCAAAATGTTTGTCCTGGTATAGAAATACAAAAAGATCGTAATACTTCAGTAACTTCTAAACGGTTTGTCCGATTTTAATAAAAATTTCACATACGTAAAGAGGAAGTATTGACGAGTTTAGGTTTTGAATTTGTAACACATGGTCTCAACAGGGGCGTAGTCCAAGCTCAGTAAATTAGTACTTCTTAGGTATGTTAAATTTTTAAAACGATCATTTTTTTCTTCTAAGTTTTTTCTTTAAGTAAATTTAGTTTTTAAAGTGATAAATATTGGAATGAATAAACAAAGAATCAGCATAAATTAAATTTTGCGCTCAATTTTAAAAATTTTAAATCTGAGCGACACTAATTTTTGTGTGTGTGATTTGTTTTGCTATACGCTACACCATGCGGCTGTGCTATTGGTCTTACACCCACCTTAAGGTATACAAATCGTCTCAGAATCACTTTCTGAGTCGATTAATCTATGTC